AGGATCTAACAGCCACTGGTCTTTAATCTCCCTCAACATCAATGAACTCAATTCTCCAATAAAAAGACAGAGACTAACAGAATGGATGCATAAACAAGACCCAACAATCTGTTGCATATAACAAACACACCTAAATCACAAAGATAGACATTACCTGAGAGTAAAGGGCTGGAAGACAGTTTTCCAAGCAATGGACCCAACAAGCAAACAGGAGTAGCCATCCTAATATCTAATAAAATAGATTTTCAATGAAAATTAATGAAAAGAGATATAGAAGGAAACTTCATACTCATCAAGGGAGAAATCATCCAGGAAGATATCACAATCCTGACCATCTATGCCCCAAATGCAAGGGCACATACATTTGTAAAAGAAACTTTAATAAAACTCAAACCACACATAGACCCCACACATTAATAGTGAGAGACTTCAACACCCCACTCTCAACAATGGAGTGGTCAACAAAACAGAAATTAAACAAAGAAACAATAACTCTGATAGAGGTCATGAATCAAATGCACCTCACAGACATCTACATAAACTTTCACCCAAACACAAAAGAATTTACCTTCTTCTCAGCACCTCATGGAACCTTCTCCAAAATAGACCATATAGTTGGTCACAAAGCAAGCCTCAACAGATAAAAGAAGATTGAAATAATCCCTTGTATCCTATCTGATCACAATGGACTAAAGCTGGACCTCAATGACAAATATACCAAAAGGCCTACACAGACATGGAAACTGAACAACTTGCTACTAAATGACAGCTGGGTCAGAGAAGAAATAAAGAAAGAAATTAAAGGCTTCTTGGAATTCAACGAAAATCAAGGCACAACATACCCAAACTTATGGGACACAACGAAAGCAGTGCTAAGAGGAAAGTTCATAGCACTAAGTACCTTCAAGAAGAAATTCAAAACATCTCATGCAAGCAACTTAATGGCTTACTTAAAAGCCTTAGAAAGGGGAGGGAGGGTGGGATCGGCAGGGGAGGAGGGAGGGGCTTATGGGGGGATACAAAATGAATAATGTGTAATTAATAAAAAAAAGTATAAAAAAATGATACAGACAAAACAGCGAAAAAAAAAAGAACATGCAATTAGTTTAAATAAGTATATATAATCATATAATCTTGGCCATGCTTTTAATAAAATTTTTATCAAGTTTTACAGCAAAAAAAAAAAAAAAAAAAAGCCTTAGAAAAAAAGAAGCGGACACACCAAAGAGGAGTAGACAGCTGGAAATAATCAAACTCAGGGCTGAAATCAATAAATTAGAAACAAATAAAACAATTCAAAGAATCAATGAAACCAAGGGCTGTTTCTTTGAGAAAATCAACAAGAGAGACAAACCCTTAGCCAAAATACTAAAAGGCAGAGAGAAACTATCCAAAACAACAAAATCAGAAAAGAAAAAAAAGACATAACCACAGACACTGAAGAAATCCAAACAATAATTAAGTCTTACTTCCAAAGTCACAAAATTTTGCCACAAAATTTGAAAATCTAAGTGGAATGGACAATTTTCCTGACTGATGCCAAAGCTGAATCAAGACCAGGTAAACCAATTAAATAGTCCTTTATCCCCTAAGGAAATAGAAGCTGTCATCAAAAGTCTACCATGAAAAAAAAAGACCAGAGCCAGATGGTTTCAGTGCAGAATTCTACCAGACATTCAAGGAGAGCTAACATCAATACTCTTCAAACTATTCCACAAAATAGAAACTGAAGGAACACTGCCAAACTCATTCTATGAAGCCACAGTCACCTTGGAACCTAAACCTCACAAAGACCCAACAAAGAAAGAGAATTTCAGGCCAATCTCCCTCATGAACATCAAAGCAAAAATACTCAACAACATACTTGCAAACCGAATCCAAGAACACATCAAAGATAAAATCCACTACGACCCAGTAGGCTTCATCCCAGGCATGCAGGGGTGGTTCAATATATGGAAATCCATCAATGTGATCCACCACATAAACAAACTGAAGGAGAAAATCCACAAGATCATCTCCTTAGATGCTAATAAGGCAACATCCATTCATGTTTAAAATATTGGTGAGATCAGGGATACATGGCACATACCTGAACATAGTAAAGGCAATATACATCAAGTCTATAGCCAATATAAAACTCAGGAAGAGAAACTTAAATCATTCCAGCTGAAATCAGGAACAAGGCAAGGCTGCCCACTCTCTCCATATAGCTTCAACATTGTTCTGGAAGTCCTTGCTAGAGCAATAAGACAATTGAAGGAGATCAAAGTATCACTATTTGCAGATGTTATGGTAGTATACATGACTGACCCCAAAAATTCTAGCAGGGAAGTCCTACAGTTGATTAACACCTTCAGCAAAGTGGCTGGATACAAAATTAACTCAAAAAAATCAGTAGCCCTCCTGTATACAAAAGACAAAAGGGCTGAGAAAGAAATTAGGGAAAAAACATCCTTCACAATAGCCAAAAAGACATGAAGTACATTGGTGTGAACCTAACCAAACAAGACAAAGACTTGTATGAAAAAAATTTCCGGTCTCTGAAGAAAGAATTAGAAGAAGATATGAGAAGATGGAAAGATCTCCCATGCTCATGGCTTGGCAGGATTAATATAGTATAAATGTCCATCTTACCAAAAGTAATCTACAGATTCAATGCAATTCCCATTAAATTACCAACACAATTCTTTACAGACCTGGAAAGAAAAATCCTCAACTTCATATGAAACAACAAGAAACCCAGAATTGCTAAAACAATTCTCTACAGTAAAAGATCTTCAGGAGGTATCTATATCCCTGATCTCAAGCTGTACTGTAGAGCAACAATACTAAAAACTGCATGGTACTGGCATAGAAACAGACTCGTGGATCAATGGAATCGATTAGAAGACCCTAACATAAATCCACACACTTATGGACACCTGATTTTTGACAAAGATGCCAAAACCATTCAATGGAAAAAAGACAGCATCTTCAACAAATGCTGCTGGTCCAACTAGATATCTACATACAGAAAAATGAAAATAGTTCCATAATTATCACTCTGCACAAAACTAAAGTCCAAGTGGATCAAAGACCTCAACATAAAACCAGACACACTAAACCACTTAGAAGAAAAGTGGGGAAGAGCCTTGAACTCATTGGCACAGGAGACAACTTCCTGAAGAGAATACCAACAGCACAGTCTCTAAGACCAACAATCAATCAATGGGACCTCATGAGACTGAAGAGCTTCTGTAAAGCAAAGGACATTGTTGTCAGAACAAAACGACAGCGTACAGATTGGGAAAGGATCTTCACCAACCCTATATCTGACCGAGGACTAATATCCAGTATTTATAAAGAACTCAAGAAGTTAAAGAGCAAAAAAACAAGTAATCCAATTAAAAAAATGGAATACACAGCTAAACAAAGAATTCTCAATAGAAGAATATTGAATGGCAGAGAAATACTTAAAGAAATGCTCAACCTCATTAGCCATCAGGGAAATGCAAATTAAAAAGACCCTAAGATTACACCCATGAGAATGGCTAAGATCAAAACCTCAAGAAACATCACATGCTGGAGAGGTTGTGGGGAAAAGGGAACTCTCCTCTACTGCTGGTGGGAATGTAAACTTGTACAACCACTCTGGAAAGCAATCTGGCACTTTCTCAGACAACTAGGAATAGCATTTCCACAAGATCCAGCTATAACTCTCCTAGGCATATACCCAAAAGAGTCTCAAGTACACAATAAGGACATTTTCTCAACCATGTTTGTAGCAACCTTATTTGTAATAGCCAGAAGCTGGAAACAGCCTAGATGCCCCTCGGTGGAGGAATGGATTTACAAATCGTGGTATACCTACACAATGGAGTATTACTCAGCAATAAAAAACAATGAAATCATGAAATTTGCAGGTAAATGGTGTGATCTGGAAAAGATCATCCTGAGTGAGCTACCCAGAAGCAGAAAGACACACAGGGTATATACTCATAGACATATAATATAGGATAAACCTACTAAAATCTGTACACCTAAAGAAACTAATCAAGAGGGAGGACTCTTGCTAAAATGCTCATTTTCTATCCACAAAGGCCTAGAGGATGGACATCAGAAGAAGGAGAAAAAGAGGGAACAAGTCAGGAGGCTGACACAGAGGACCTCTGAAAGGCTCTGCCCTGCAGACTATCAATGCAGATGCTGAGAATTTTGGGCAATCTTTAGGCAGAGTACAGGGAATCTAGGAAAAATGTGGGAAACAGTAAGATCTGGAGAGGACAGGAACTCCACAAGGAGAGCAACAGAACCAAAAAATCTGAGCACAGGGGTCTTTCCTCAGACTGCTACTCCAACCAAGGACTGTGCCTGGAGGTAACCTAAGACCCCTGCACAGATGTAGCCCATGACTTGGGTTCCATTGTAATAGGAACAGGGACTGTCTCTGACATGAACTGATTGGACTGCTCTTTAAGTACCTTCCCCTGAGGGGGAAGCAGCATTACCAGGCCACAGAAGAAGACACTGCAGCCACTCCTGATGAGACCTAATTGACTAGGATCAGAAAGAAGGAAAAGAAGACCTCCCCTATCAGTGGACTTGGGGAAGGGCATACATGCAGAGGGTGGAAGAAGGAAGGGATAGGGACAGGAGGAAGGAGGGAACCACAGGATGGATACAAAGTGAATAAAGTGTAATTAATAAATAATTAAAAATTAAAAAAGAAATGCTCAACATCCTTAGTCATCAGGGAAATACAAATCAAAACAATCCTGAGATTTCACTGTACACCCATCAGAATGGCTGAGATCAAAACTCAAGTGACAACACATGCTGGAGAGGCTGTGGGGAACCCTCCTCCATTGCTGGTGGGAATGTAAACTTGTCCAACCACATTGAAAATTAATCTGGTGCTTTCTCAGACAATAAGGAATAGTGCTATCTCAAGATCCAGCTATAGTACTCCTAGCTTTATATCACGTATATATACCTAGTATAAAACAAGGATATTTCCTTACTGCGATATTTGTGTGTTCAGGTCCTGAAGCTGGAGGGTTCGTGATAGTGGAGTGGCAGTGAGTTCTGGCAGTGTAACCAGTATAATCCTCCCTTACCATTTTTGAAAGCTGCAAATAAGAAACAAAAATCTGTTGCATTACAGAATTTATATAAATGACTTCATTAACAGAATATTAATGCATTTGTTGGTTATCTAAATTTTAATCATAAAACTAATATTAAGGAATTAAGAAACTGACCATCAACTAATTCTTAGACTCATGTACCTGCATCTTAATTTCGCTCTTCACCAAACTTTGAATCCTGTCTTCTTATTCTCCTGTATTCCCACTTTTTCTAAAAGTTACTATTTGGAAGGCAGACACTGAAAGAAGTAAGTTTATCAAGAACTAAATGTTTTAATTATCATCTTTCTCTAGTATTTCAGCAGGAAGCCATAGCACATGTTTATTAATCTTTCTGTAAATGCTGATATTGACCTGCTCAGGCATCAGCATTACAAATTTATTAATTGAACACTTAATACATAGCTGTGTAATACAAAGACTTTAATAGTTTTAAAATGAAATTCTGTCTCTGTTGTTTCAAAATTACTAATGAAAGATAGACTATTTAAAATAAATTCTAAGTGAAGAAAATAATAAAATAATAATTTATTTAGTCTATTCTTGATTGTATGATTAATGAAATATTAAATTGTATTAAATATATAATTTAGGATATCTTATATATTTCTAATAACAGCTAACTCATGAATGGTTAGTAATTACGGTGAAGGTTAAGAAGTTGAAAAACTGTCAGTTAAGAATAAGAAATAAATAATACACTGCAATGCTTTCTTATCTAAATTGCAATCAGTGGCATGAGGATTCTTTGGGTAGCAGTTAGAAAGAAGTTAGGTACTCACAAAATCATTAAAATATTTGGAAGTGTGGTCATCGAGGAACTGAGTCATGTTAAGGGGAAAAAAATAACATCTAGTCAGAAAAAAACCAACATAAAAACATGTTTATATCAAACAGAATCACATTTTCTTGATGTCCATCATATTGAAGGTTTGTCTATTTTTTTCTTTGGATTTTCTGACTTTGAGAAATGAAGTGTATCAATCAGCCTGAAATGAACAAATATACCTCTAATTCTGCCCCGATATTGGACAAATTCTAACACTATAAATTCTTAAACCACAATAACTAGTATTTATGTGCTTCTTAGAAATCTAGATTCCTTCCTTCCTTCCTTCCTTCCTTCCTTCCTTCCTTCCTTCCTTCCTTCCTTCCTTCCTTCCTTCTTTCCTTCCTTTCTTACTCCTTTTTTCTTTTATAGCTCTTTCTCTTTCCTTTCCTTTCTCTCTCCCTTCCTTCCTTCCTTCCTTCCTTCCTTCCTTTCTTTCTTTCTTTCTTTCTTTCTTTCTTTTTTTCTTTCTTTTATTCTTTCTTTCGTTTTTTTTCTGTTTTCTTTCTCTCTGTCTCTCTATCTTTATTCTTGCCTCTTCACATTCTTTAGTTTACCTGTATTCCAAATATATAGTTCACTGCACAGTCCACAATTAGAATGAATATCTTAAATGCCCTAAATGAATATGGCCAATTGAAATTCATTTCCTTGAATGTAACAATAGGAAATGAGAATTCACTCCCTAGTCATATTTGTAAAGGTCTCTACTATAGGGTTTTTTTTTCCACAAAACCAGAGAAAATGTAGAAAAATCATTAGATTCATTGACATTGTACGAAACTATCCAGTTGACCCTTTCCATGTATCAGTACTTGGTATGTCTTTTACCAATGACATTATATTTTCTGATATTTGAGTTGTGATGCTTACTGTCTCAGGTTCCAGCAGAATTCAAACATTAGTATGAAGGTGGAGGTACTTACAAATTCTTCATTCATTTCCTCAGCAAGACTACGGATTGTTTCAGCTCTGTTGAGGGCATTTCTAAAGGTTTCCACAGGGGGCTCCGTACAGCCTCCCTCTTCAGTAAGACATGGAAGAATTGCTGCAGCTTTCTCCCACAGCAGCAGGTTTGACATCACCAAAAACAGGAATGTCCCTACATAAAAACAAGAGCCACTTAGGAATAATGTATTGATCTGAGGTTTTCGGGGTTCACCTGATTCAGAAAAGTTTTATCTGTCTGCCGTTTTCTTTAGTACATGACTTGGTATTGACTATCTAGCATGATAGATATAATTACTGAGAATATTTAGTCAAGTTAATGTGTTTTTCTCTATAACAATTTGAGAAGCAAGTAATTTCCCATTACCTGTGTTTCAGGAGGTCTTCTAAATTTTACAAATGTCTGTAACTGAAATTAATTCTGTAGAATATTTAAGCCCTTATTAAGATGATGTGGTAACCTTGGAGTTTAAGTGCAATTACATTTACCAAACTCTTTAAGATTACTTTTTTAATTTTTAATTTTTTTATTTATTGTACTTTATTTACTTTGTATTGCAGGTGTAGTCCCCTACCTCATCCCCTTCCAATCCCACCTTTCCTCCTTCACCTCATCCCATGACCCTTCCCCTGTCCACAAATAGGGGAGGTCCTCTTTCCTTTCCATCTGACCCTAGCCTGTCAGATTTCATCAGGACTTGGTGTATTGTCTTCCTCTGTGGCCTGGTTAGGCTGCTTCCCCTTCCAGGGGAAATGATCATAAAGCCAGCCACTGAGTTCATTCAGAGACAGGCCCTGTTCCCTTTCCAAAGGTGCCCATTTGAAGACTGAGCTGCTGTGAGCTACATATGAGAAAGGGTTCTAGGTTATATCCATTAATGGTCCTTGGTGGAGTATGAGTCTCAGAAAAGACCACTATGCCCACATTATCTGAGTTTTTTGCTCTCCTTGTAAAGCCCCAGTCCCCTCTAGGTCTTTCTATCTCCCCCTTCTTTCATATGATTCCAGATCAACCCCCTTATAACTTAGCAATTCCAAACTGACTTTGTATTTTAGGACAGCATTCTCTTCATCTTTTGTATTAGTAACCATGTCTTTTTTTATTGGCTAATATGTAGAGGAAGCAAACAAATAAACTGTGCTTTCTTTTTTCCATCAGTGTCCAAAATGATGATATCCACCACGTAGTTTAAAAACAAAGATTACCCTGCACTCTTGTATACTTCTTTTTTTTTTAATTTTATTTTCTTCTTATCAGTTACATTTTATTAACTCTGTATCCCAGCCTTGTCCCAATCCCTCATTCCCTCCAAGTCCCTCACTCCCTCCCTCATCTCCACCGTGCCCCTTGCCAAGTCCACTGATAGGGGGGACCTCCTCCCTATTCATCTGATCCTGTTTTATCAGGTATCTTCAGGACTGGCTGCAAAGCTCTCCTCTGTGGCCTAACAGGACTGCTCCTCCCTTGGGGGGTGGGGAGGCCAAAGAGCCAGTCATTGAATTCCTGTTAGAAATAGTCCTTGTTCCCCTCACTATGGGAAACCAATTGGTTACTGAGCTACCACAGGCTACATCTGAGCAGAGGTTCTAGGTTGCATTCATACATGGTCCTTGGTTGCATGTCAGTCTCAGAAACGACCCTGTGCCCAGATATATTTGATCCTTGTGGAGCTCCTATCCTTTCCTCATCAGACTAACTCCCCTTCTTTCTTATGATTCCCTGTACTCTGCCGAAGGTTTGATCATGAGTCTTTGCTTTGAAAACACTGCTAGTTAGAGTCTTTCAAATGCTCTCAGTCATATGTTCAATGTGCATCTCATCTGTCTTTCTAAAGAGGATTGATAATCTTACCCCATGTCTGCTCTCTTGATTATCTTTTTTAGGTGTATAGATTTCATTATGTTTATCATATCTTATAGGTCTATATAAGTGAGTATGTACCGTGTTTGTCTTTCTCCTTCTGGGATATTTCACTCAAGATGATCTTTTCTAGATTCTACCATTTGCCTGCAAATTTCATGATTTCCTCCTTTTTGATTGCTGAGTAGTATTCTATTGTGTAAAAATACCACAATTTCTGTACCCATTCCTCCGTTGATGGACATCTGGGTTGTTTCCAGGTTCTGGCTATTACAAATAATGCTGCTATAAACATGGTTGAGCAAATATCCCTTTTGTGTACTTGAGCAAACTTTGGGTATATACCTAGCAGTGGTATAGCTGGGTCTTGAGGAAGGACTATTCCTAATTGTCTTAGAAAGTGCCAGATAGATTTCCAGATGTAATGTAATGTAAATGTACCAGTTTACATTCCCACCAGCAGTGGAGGAGGGTTCCCCTTTCTCCACAACCTCTCCAGCATGTGTTGTCACTGGAGTTTTTCATCTTGGCCATTCTGATGGGTGTAAGGTCAAACCTCAGGGTTGTTTTGATTTGCATTTCCCTGATGGCTAATGAGGATGAGCATTTCTTTAAGTGTTTCTCTGCCATTCGATATTCCTCTGTCAAGAATTCTCTGTTTAGCTCTGTTTTCCATTTTTTAATTGGATTACTTGGTTTGCTGATTTTCAGCTTCTTTAGTTCTTTGTATATACTCGATATTAGTCCTCTGTCAGATAAAGGGTTGTTGAAGATTCTTTCCCAATCTGTAGGCAGGCGTTTTGTTTTGATGACAGTGTCCTTTGCTTTACAGAAGCTTTTCAGTTTCATGAGGTCCCATTTATTGATTGTTGCTCTTAAAGCCTGTGCTGTTGGTGTTCTGTTCAGGAAGTTGTCTCCTGTGCCAATGAGTTCTAGGCTATTCCCCACTTTTTCTTCTAACAGATTTAGAGTATCTGGTTTTATGTTGAGGTCTTTGATCAACTTGGACTTTAGTTTTGTGCAGGGTGATAAATATAGATCTATTTTCATTTTTCTGCATGTGGACATCCAGTTGGACCAGCACCATTTGTTGAAGATGCTGTCTTTTTTCCATTGAATGGTTTTGACTTCTTTGTCAAAAATCGAGTATTTAATTCATAGGTGTGTGGGTTTATTTCTGGGTCTTCTATGCGGTTCCATTGATCCTCCTTTATGTTTTTGTTACTATTGCAGTTTTTATTACTATTGCTCTGTAGTACAACTGGAGATCGGGGATAGAGATACCTCCAGATAATCTGTTGTTGTACAGGATTGTTTTGGAGATTCTGGGTTTTTTGTTTCTCCATATGAAGCTGAGAATCTTTTTTTTCAAGGTCTGTAAAGAATTGAGTTGGTATTTTGATGGGAATTGCATTGAATCTGTAGATTGCTTTTGGCAGGATGGCCATTTTCACAATGTTAATCCTACCAATCCATGAGCATGGGAGATCTTTCCATCTTCTGAGATCTTCTTCAATTTCTTTCTTCAGAGACTTGAAGTTTTTCTCAAACAGGTCTTTCACTTGCTTGGTTAGTGTCACCCCAAGGTACTTTATGTTATTAGTGGCTATTGTGAAGGGTGTTGTTTCCCTAATTTCTTTCTCGGCCCTTTTGTCTTTGTAGAATTCAATGAAAATGAAGGCACAACATACCCAAATTTATGGGACACATTGAAAGCAGTGCTCAGAGGAAAATTTATAGCACTAAGTGCCTGCAAGAAGAAATTTGTAACATCACATACAAACAACTTAATGGCCCAACTGAAAACCCTAGAAAAAAAAGAAGCAGATACACCCAAGAGGAGCAGAAGGCTGGAAATAATCAAACTCAGGGCTGAAATCAATCAATTAGAAACAAATAAAACTATTCAAAGAATCAATGAAACAAAAAGCTGGTTCTTTGAGAAAATCAACAAGATAGACAAACCCTTAGCCAAACTAACTAAAAAGCAGAGAGAATATATCCAAATCAACAAAATCAGAGAGGAAAAGGGTGACATAACTACAGACACAGAGGAAATTCAAACAACCATTAGGTCATACTACAAAAGCCTATATGCCACAAAATTTGAAAACCTAAATGAAATAGACAATTTTCTTGATAGTTTCCATCTTCCAACATTAAGTCAAGATCAGATAGAAAGACTGAACAGCCCTATATCCCCCAAGGAAATTGAAGCAGTCATTCACAGTCTCCCCTCCAAAAAAAGCCCTGGGCCAGATGGTTTCAGCGCGGAATTCTACCAGACCTTCAAAGAAGTGCTCACACCAATTCTCCTCAAACTATTCCACAAAATAGAAACAGAAGGTACATTACCAAACTCATTCTATGATGCAACAGTCACCCTAATACCTAAACCACGCAAAGACCCAACAAAAAAAGAGAACTTCAGACCTATCTCTCTTATGAACATTGACGCAAAAATACTCAGTAAAATACTTGCAAATCGAATCCAAGAACACATCAAAGATATCATTCACCACGACCAGGTAGGCTTCATCCTAGGCATGTAAGGGTGGTTCAACATACGGAAATCCATCAATGTAATCCACCACATAAACAAACTGAAGGAGAAAAACCACATGATCATCACCTTAGATGCTGAAAAAGCATTTGACAAAGACCAACACCCATTTATGTCTAAGGTCTTGGAGAGATCAGGGATACAAGGCACATATCTAAACATAGTAAAGGCAATATACAGCAAGGCTATAGCCAACATCAAACTCAATGGCGAGAAACTTAAATCAATCCCACTGAAATCAGGGACAAGACAAAGCTGCCCACTCTCTCCCTACCTCTTCAACATAGTACTTGAAGTCCTAGCCAGAGCAATAAGACAACTAAAGGAGATCAAGGGGATACAAATCGGAAAGGAAGAGGTCAAAGTGTCACTCTTCGCAGATGATATGATAGTATATATGAGCGACCCCAAAAATTCAACCAGAGAACTCCTTCAGCTGATAAACACCTTCAGCAAAGAGGCAGGATACAAAATCAACTCAAAAAAATCAGAAGCTCTCCTGTATACCAAAGACAAAAGGGCTGAGAAAGTAATTAGGGAAACAACACCCTTCACAATAGCCACTAATAACATAAAGTATCTTGTATACTTCTACAATACCTTTCAAGAAAATAATTTTAAAGGATGTAAGAAAATCTATGCTGGAGTATTTTTTATTGTAATACTATGAACAAGTACTTGTTCATGTCAGACTGAACATCAAAGATTCCTAAGAACTTCATTAAAACAAAATAAACGAACAATTTAATTGATTCTTTTTCATAGAGAGACATAGAAGAAAATTCACTTACAGAAGTGAAGTTGACTCAATGGCAGCTCCATCGCTGAGGAGTTCCCAAGCAGGATGAGTGCTGATTCTGGTGAGCTGCTTCACTGGAGTCATGCATTCAGCTAGTTTCCTCCTACTATATATACCAGCAGATAAGCCCCAAGGGTATGCATAGCAGTGCGACAGCAAGAAGTCATGTTCATACGTGAACCATGTCTGTATATCTCCAGGGAATGTTAACAGATTTATTATCACATACTTATCTCTTTCTGGAGGATTTCCTTTTGCTTCTTCCTGCGTCATGATTCCTGTCCAAGACAGTTTTGATATCTCTGAAACCGTCTTAGCAGCCTGATGACAAATGATCAGGAAATAACTGTTGTTCATAATTTCTTCTATTTCCTTGGATTCTAATATTTTTCTATCATCTCTTTCATAATGTTTATGGACAGAGAGGGATTCCTTATTGAATATTTGAACACAAGGACACAGCATTAATAAATTATCTATGGTGTTATTATGAATCTCTACCAGTAATCACTAAATACTGTGAATAGTGATTCTTTAAAACCTAAGATGAGAGTTAAAATAATCCACATGTTTAATTTAGATATTTTAAAGTCAGTTTAAAAGACATCAGACATATTATGTACTACAACAACAAAAATCCCTAAATTCTCTCTATAGCCTATGGACCCTCAGGTAATGAATATGCATTGGCATAAAATACCAAGTATGGATTTTTTTATTGGAATCGGTATTAATTACATCAGAAATTCATTGTACTAAAAACTATTGTGCCTCTGTTGACCTAGTGAAAACAGTTTTATACTCTTACTTCTAGAATCAGCACTTTAGTCATAGCAACACTGATGACAGTTCTCCAAAATCAACTCTCTAGTGGCTGACAGATTTAGGTAGCCACTCAACACAGAGGAATTTTCCACCTCAAAGCCAAGCAATTTCCTCAGGCTGTTACCAGAGAATACATGCTGCCTAAAGCGTTTAGGTCAACTATTTAGTTCTGGTGCTCATTGAAAAGAAGATACAGCTGCAAGAATGGTGTGAATGAACAGTCCTCTCTCAGAATGACAAATGGAATGGACATTGAAAGAAGGGAAAAACAGGAAACAGGAAAGGAACCTAAAACAGAGAGCCACTGAAAGTCTCTACTCAACAGTGTATCAAAGCAGATGCTGAGACTTTTAACCAATCTTTCGGCAGAGTTCATGGAATCTTATGAAAGATGGAGGAGATAGTGGGACCTGGAGAGGACAGGAACTACACTAGCAGAGCAACAGAACCAAAAAACGTGGGCACAAAGATCTTTTTCTGAGACTCATACTCCAACCAAGGACCATTCATGGATATAACCTAGAACCTCTGCTCAGATGTAGCTCATGGCAGTTCAGTATCCAAGTGGGTACCATAGTAAGGGGAACAGGAACTGTCTCTGACATGATATGAACTCAGTGGCTGGCTCTTTGTAAGTGGCCCCAGAAACCCATTTTTCAAATCAGTCTTATGAAATGAACTCAGTCTGAAATCTGGGATTTTATTGAATAAAAACGTGGTTCTCACAGGTACATTCACCTTCATGTATATTTTTTCTTGAAAATTATTTAACAGCGTCATTTTTATCCCTCCTGATGTCTCACCAAATAATAATGTGTACAGAGGTTGTTTATATGTAATGGAAGTTTTATAGAGATTCACCATTTCTGTAGACAAATAGTACCTGCTTCAGGAAACCATAAATTCACTGTCTGGTTCTGTATATAAGTGAATATTTATTATGCCTTAGCATTGGCATTGCACATCATAGACAAGCCCCAAATGTATATTGTTTTTTTCCTTCCAAAGCACACAGTTGTGTGGGTTAGCATGGATGGCTTCATCACTTCTATTCTAAGCCTATGACCTAATGACAGCGCTATGATCTGTTTAGGTTGCTGCACCTGGGACTGTGACATTTGATCAAGGAAGTGTTGGCGTCTGGCTAAGGGTGAAGAAAGAACAGGTCACACTCAGAACAGCCAAGCTTAATACACCTCAAGTTTAGTTCAACTTATCCACACTTTCTTGCCTGGTCTTAATCCCCTAAAGCTGTTTATCTGTCAGCAGTATTTTAGGAAAGTACCCAAGTTTGGTTGAATAATCTCCTCCCCACACACTCCCCTTTCCTCAGCCACAAGTCAACATAACTTTCACAACCTCACACAACATATTTCAAACCTTTTGTGCAGCTTGTTTTCCTACTTCACCTCCACCCTATCTATGTGAGGGAGATGTATACAGAGTACTTTGGGGAGCAGACATAATTGCCTATCCTTACAGTAAGTTTTATGTTCCCTGATGTATTTCCTCATTCTTCCACTATTACCTTTAGCCCCTGTGATTTTTGATACCCAGGAATCCTAGTCATCCTAGCTAATTGGCATGGTTTTTTCCTTTAAGATGTCCTCATGTCATTCATAACATATATTCATTAATGTACTATTAGTCAACCTGCTGATTTTACCACATATGCTTTCCATCTAAGACATGTGTTTCCTGCAGTAGGTAGTTGAGTGGGAAGCAGTGTCTCATCATTTACCCCATTTATTCTGTTTACAGACATTTTGCTGCTCATATCTCCCACAAATTCTGTCTAGTCAGCATTTCCTTGGATATCCTAGATTGGTCACAGTGCAGATCTTGCTACATTTGACCTCCCATGAGCCTTGTTCTCATTTTTTTTTCCTTTCTTCTCTTAATTTCATTAACACTTTCTGAGTAATATTTAAATCAAGTTCCAGTAAGTTTATTCCCAGAAATTCCTTCTGCTGCAAGTGCAATTTTATGCTGAATTATCACTGGAGAGAAGATAATATACAACCTCTAAATTCACAGTTTTGGGAACCAGGCTGTCAACTCTTCTCACTAAGTCAATGTGTTTTTGAAGAATGCAGGAGGTGAGGTCTAAAGCTGCCTGATATATGTAAAGGCACTTATTCTTGCCATGCTCAAACAGGTGTATTCTACTTGATTTTTAATCTAGTCAAAAGGAATGTCATTTTTATTATAGGGACCTGACTATAATGCTCAAAGAAAAGATTTATCCTCTTCTAACCTGTTTTTATTTCTAAAATCTTCTTGGGTGTTTTTATTCTTATTTTTTTCAATAGATTTGGAGATTGTTTTTCTTTTTCATTTTTTGTTTGGAAATTTTACAAAGTAACTGTCACAAACACTTGTGAATGCTCTCTCTCTCCCAAGGTATATATATACATGCACACACAAATCACACACATATACACATATGCACAGAAAGTATACATTATCTCTAAGTGAAGCCCATATTCACATTGAAAAGAGAAAATTACCCTAAGCCTAGATTAAAAAAAGAAAACTTTACAATCACAAGTAACTTCCATATCATCACACTTACAGGTCAGCACAGGAAACTACTAATAACACTGTACTAATGCCAATTTTGTTATCTCTACACTTTCTCACTTCTGCAGTTGTTGGGTGCATATCAGCAAAGAAAGAAGTTGAAGGCACATCTTCAAGAATTTTAGACTTTTCTTTGAAAACGAAAGGATAAGACAACAAATACTGGAAGAGAGACAGTACTCTGAGGTATGTGCACAAGGTGTTCGTGCTTTAGAAAAAATATTAGCAAAGCAGTAGTAGAAGTTTGCAGGTAACAGGTAATAAGAAGAATATATTTCTAGGCCAGGAGTTGCAATTCATTCAGAAATACACCAATCCTAATCCTGAATTGCTGACATAGAAGTGAACTTGATTTGGAAAGGGCCAGGGAGGAGATGAGGGAGGGAGGGTGGGATTGGGGAGGGAATGAGGGAGCCAGATACAGCTGGGATACAGAGTTAACAAAAGAAGTTTACTCAAAAAACTCTTTCTCCCTTAAGCAGCTTTTGTTAGAGTATTTTAACACAGAAATACGACAGGAACATCAGTGTTTATATGTGTTTTTAGGTGTGGGCATGTGTGTATTTGTGATTATATATTTGTATGTGTGTCTATGTGTGCATATATATGTATCTATACATGTTCATGCATGTTGTCTGTGTGGTGTGTGTCAAGATGTGTAATTGTACATGTATATACACATGTATATGTAGGCCTATCATTTATTCACTCTCTACCCTTTTTTTAATAATAGGTTATCTCACTGTATATAGTACTCACTGATTGGCTAGATGGGTTAAGTAGAAACTCCAGGAACCCCACTGTCTCCAGATTCCCAGAACAGGATTACAGTTATAGGCAGCTTCATTCTACCTTTTTACATGGATTCTGTATAGTTTTTTCAGATATCAGGGCATGTCTTCCACCTCGGAAAACAAAAACATACTTCTTGTACTGGACTAAACTTCTGAGAACTATTGTGGTCGATAAAACAAACCAATAACAGAATACTTCTGGGAGGTATTTTGTTTTCATAGAAACTTTTCAAATTTTCTTAGCCAAAGTAAAATTGACAGAAATAAGTAGTTCTTAGTCTTAGAATGCAGAACTAGTTTTTCAGTCAGTCAAATTGTTCAACCTTCCCCACATAATTCACACAGAGATCTGATTGCAGAAGTCACTCAAATAATTCTTTCATGAGTCCTTTGGTGATTATAGGAACTCAACTGGGAACATGTTTGTAAGATATATATTGTGTATCTTATCATATTTCTTATCTTATTTCTTATGAATCATCAAATGTTAATTATTAATTAATTATTTTAAAAAGTTGAGGATGTACACTTTGAAAATCAATCTGGCACTTTCTCAGAAAATTAGGAAAGTGCTAACTCAAGATCAAGCTATACCACTCCTAAGCATATATAAAAAGTATGCTCAAGTACACAACAAGGACATTTGCTCATCTGTGTTTATAGCAGCTTTATTTATAATAACCAGAAGCTAGAAACAACCCAGATGCCCCTCAGTTGAGGAATGGATACAGAAATTGTGGTCCATTTAGAGAATGGAATACTACACAGCAATTAAAAACAAGGAAATCATGAAATTTGCAGGCAAATGGTGTGAACTAAAAAAGATCATCGTGAGTGAGGTATCCCAGAAGCAGAAAGATAGACATGGTATACTCACTTTTAAGTGGATATCAGACATGTAATGTAGGATAAACATAATAAAATCTTTACACATAAAAAAAGTTAAGCAAGAAGGAGGACCCTGGGTAAGATGCTCATTCCTCATTCGGGAATGCAAATGAGATAGTCATTGGAAACAGGAGAAACAGGAATGGGACAGATACCTACCACAGAGGTCTCTGTAAAAACTCA